AACTGTCTGTGTTTCGGCAGCAACACAATTGCTCTGTCAAACTCTTCTTCTTCAACGACATTTTGTTTTGCCGGAGTTAATCCATTAACAGACGTAAAATACGTCTCAGTGGAGCCCCACAATACGGGGAGTGCGAAGCACTCCTCTGACACAACTATCCTGTCCCCCTGGTCTGTGTGACGCTATGAACAAGGCTGAGTACGTCACGATTGAGTACATCAAGCTAGAATCTAAGATGTAAAGTCTTTCTGTCTTTGTCCACTACACTTTATTAATGTATTGGTGTAGGCACGGTTTGTTTCACCCATTTTTTTAACCTTCTTACGGGGGAGGCTGGTAGCGGCTAGCCCAAAGAGGCGTTGTAGTCGAGCTACCAAAGCCACCAGCTCGTTGCCTTCAGATTCTAATGCACTGCCAGGCGCGGTCTCACCCAACTCCCTCGTAGAAGGACACCACTCAACTGGATGTCCGGTATACATTTCTCGATGCCTCCTAGTATACAACATTATCAGCAGGAATCCGGTATGAGCCTATCAAACGTCTCGGAGGATGTACCTACTCCTTGTGCCAGGCCGTTGTGGTCGCGATGGTAGACCAGCGATTTCAATACTGATGGCCTCGCCATTCGACATATGTCGTCAGAGTGTGATGGTTTATTGGAAGCCTAACGCCCTTCAGGAGCTCTATGTGATGGCCGAGTACGCCTTCTCGACGACTCGGTGTAGGAGAGGGTATCTTGCGGCTCATATGGGAGATGCTGAATGCCCATCTTGTGATGGTTATTGTGATATCTGCAACACCGAGAGCTCCGCTCCGCCTAGAAAAAGCCTCAAGCACGGTCCGAGCGAAGACAAGATCGTTAGAGAGGTTTTTTATCAGCTCGATGAGGCAGCTGCGAGAGGGGAAAAGTTGACGTTGTTGAAACTGAGCGAAAAATGCCGGAAAAATCTCCACTGCGAAATTGAAGGAGTGGCAGTTGCTACCATCAGCCTTCTCAAGTCGAGTCATTTGAGGGAGACTTTCGATGCTACTGCATACTCTGTGATTCCCTATATCGAAAAACGAAGAACGTCCCTCACGCCGTCCATTTGGGAGTTCACTCATCGTGAAATCGAGAGTAGCGTGTCCCGAGTTTTCGATAGTCGGGC